GCACAACCCAGCCCAGCTCAGCCCAGCTCAGCCCAGCTCAGCATAGCTCACCCCAGCTCAGCATAGCTCAATCCAGCCCAGCCCAGTCTAGATCAGCCTAGCTCAGCCCAGCTCAGCTCAGCCCAGTTCAGCCCAGTTCAGCCAGCTCAGCCCAGCCCAGCCCAGCTCAGCCCAGCCCAGCTCAGCCCAGCCCAGCCCAGCTCAGCCCAGGCCAGCCCAGTCTAGATCAGCCTAGCTCAGCCCAGTTCAGCCCAGCTCAGCCCAGTTCAGCCCAGCTCAGCCCAATCTAATTCAGTTCAGCCCAGCCTAGCTCAGTCAGCCTAGCTCAGCCCAGCCCAGCTCAGCCCAGCTCAGCCCAGTTCAGCTCAGCCCAGATCAGCCCAGCCCAGCCCAGCCCAGCTCAGCCCAGTCCAGCTCAGCCCAGATCAGCCCAGCTCAGCTCAGCTCAGCTCAGCCATGCCCAGCCCAGCCTAGGTCATCCCAGCTCAGCCCAGCCCAGGCCAGCCTAGCTTAGCCCAGCTCAGCCCAGCTCTGCTCAGCCCAGCTCATCCCAGCCCAGCTGTGCTCAGCTCAGCTCTGCTCAGTCCAGCTCTGCTCAGCCAAGCTGTGGGCTCCCACCAGCCTGATGAGCATTTTAGCACAAGACAGCTCCCTGCTGCCATTTGCTGTCTCTGGGTGACGTCCTTGTCCTGCCTGTTGGCCAGCAGAAAGCTGTCATGCTGGGTTCAGGGGCAGCCTCTGGACACCCTGACCTCCCTGGCTGTGGGTCTCGCCCCGCCTGCCTGGTGCAGACTGCAGTCCTGTCTTCTTGGATTGAGTGTCAGGCTGTTCCTCTCTCCTGCGCCAGTGCAGCCAAGGGATAACTGCAGGACTTGAGTGAACACGAGGCTTGGTCCTGTGCTAGATCCTGGGGCCAGCATCCTTCTGTCATGTCCCTGGACAGACCCAAATGATGTGAGCCATTAGCGATCATCCTCATTATTTTTATGCCCAGCCATAGGACCTGGGGGAAGGCGCTCTGCCTCAGTGCCCTCAGCTACAAGTGGGGTGGGAACCCCCTGGGGCCTCGGCAGCCCTGGAAGTTCCCTTTTCTCTCTGTTCTCAGGAAGTCACCTGAGCAATGGCGAGGTCTCAGGTGAGGCCCCTTTTCAGGGCAGGCACACGACTGCTCTGGGTGAGGCCCTCTCCTCTCTGCAGCCTGGCCCCAGGCATCCCCTGCAGGACTCTCATGTCAAAGACACTGGAGGGCTTGCAGTGGCCCTGCCTGCCCCTTGGGTCCTACTGCCTGGAAAGGCCGCGGCACCAGGCTTTGCCCTCTGGGTGTGAGGACAGGATGGGGGACGAGGCCTGAGGCAGTGGGCCTGTGGGCCTGAGGCCTCGGATGTGGACACACAGGGCCTCCCTGGCTGCTGCCTTGTTCCTGTGTCAGCCTTGGAGCTGGTACCTTGAGGCGGTGATCTCACCGTGATGATCACCCCAGGTGCCGAGCATCCTGCGGCCCTGGCCCCCTCCTGTTGCTGTGCTGAGGGAACCAGGCACAGACTGGCCAGCCGGACACTGAAGGCTGCAGAGGAGCCATGCAGAGGCTGGCCAGGGGCTTTGCAAGGCCGCTGCTGCTTCTGGTCCTGGGGCTGCTGCTGGGGGTCCAGGGAAGATGTACCACCAAGATCTAGGGCCAGGTGGACTGGGCGGAGCTCAGAGGCCAGTGCCACATGAATGGGTGGACTAAGGCTATGGGTTGGGCAGGGCTTCCCTTCCGCTTTGAGTCCCCTGGAGGACCATGTGCACACCCAGGGAGGCCACAGGCAACCTGAGCCTGGCTTGTCACCATGGGGTCCTGTAAGGGATGTGCAAAGTCTCTGGGGAGGGCCATCGGGACCCTGTCCCCTCCACCTAGGACTCCCAGCGTCAGTGGTCCCCATGCAGGGGTCTGAGGGCCGGGGCTGTGCAGGCTCAGTGCCCTCAGAGAGATTTTCAGACACATTGCTAGACCTCAGAAGGGATGCAGGTGGGATGGGTGACCAGCATGGTGGGCCAGGAACCTGGAGGGCCTGGGGGTGAGGTCTGGGGAGATCAGGCTTGGCCTGTGTTGTCCCTCCCTGATGGACAGTCCTTGGCCACCCGCCCATCCAAGCTGAGGGACAGATGCTGTGTGGGAGGCTAAGGGGTAAATGCCCTGTTTCTTGGAAGCAGTTGTGGTTCTGAGGGAAACCACAGGGTGGGAGCCTCCTGCCCTCTGGGTCAGGTGGTGCCCGGCTGTGGCAGGCCCCCAGGGGAGGGCAGGGCTGCACCTGACCCACCTGGCATCCTCCTGCTGGCTGTCCCCAGGCTGCGGGCACAAGGGGCAGCGGCCTTTGTGACCAGGCTGCCTGGCCCTTGGTTCTGCCTGACCCCGGAATGAGCTGGGCTCAGGTGCTGGGGCAGGGAGGGCCCCTGGGGAGGAGGCACGGGCACCTGGAGCTCCTGAGGCCACAGGTCCCACCGGGGCCCAGCTCTGACCTCTGCTGCCCTCGGGGTGGCTCACAAAGTGAGTTTCAAAGGAGTGAGGTGCTTCGAGGTGGTCTCCYCTGAACACCCGGCCTGTGGGCGCACCTCCCACTGCTCTGGGGTGCAGACCCTTCTCCAGCCACCGAGATGAGGCAGGACGGCACCCCATCATCTGCTCCAGGCCCAAGGACGGGTCCTGAGCTATCCCCAGGGAGCACGTGCTCTTGACTGACCCCGAGGGAGGGATTCTAAAGTGACCACTGTGGGTGGAAGCTGGCCAGAGGCTGTCAAGGTGGCTGGCTAAGCAGGATCAAGGCTCTGGGCAGGCCTCTTGCAGAACTGGCCTCTGTCCTGCTGAGCACAAGGGCCGCGCTGGTCGTGTCCTCTTTGCTGTGGGCCTGTGGGTGAGCACAGGCCTGGCTTTGGTGGCGACCAGAGGCCAGTGCTGGCTAAGGGCCAGCTTAGGTGTTTCTAGATCCTTCTGTCTAAGGAGCACCTACTGTTGGTGGCTGCAGCTGCCTTTGGATCCCCAGACTCAGGGGGATCCAGTCCCCAGTGGGTGCCTTTGCCTCTTGGTGGCCCTGGGTGCTCCCTTGGAGACTCAGGTGCTCCTCCCAGTCCCCATGTGTCTTCTTGGGAAGGGAATTCTGGGAGCCTTCCCTGACTCCACGGGGCCCCCCACTCTCCTCCTGCTCCGCGCCTCCCAGGCCAGGTGGTCCGCGCCTCTGGGTGCCTGCTGTTTCCCTGGCTGCTCTCCAGGCTCTCTGACCTCTCTGTCCATCAACCTGGCGGGACAGGGTGATGGACGCTGGCACCTCCTTAGAATTTCTGTATGTTAGAATTTCTGTAAGTCAGAGTTTCAGCCCATTGAAGAACTTGTGTGTTTTAAAGACTTTCCAGCCCCATTTTTCTGGCCTCTGCTCTTGTGGGACTCCAATACCATGCATTTTAGGAAGCTTCCTAGTGGATCACGGGATCTGGAGTCTCTTCATTTCTCCCAGTGTTTTTCTCCCTGTTCTCTGATGACGGAATAGACTGCCTGGAGCTATGTCTTCAAATCTTCTGGCCTTCCCCATGCCTCTCCAGCCACTCTTAAGCTCAACAGGCTTTGATTCTTTAAATTTCTCTGCACTTTTTTAGTTCTAGAACTTTCATTTGTTTCTTGAGAATTTGCTGTTACAGATATTTTTGGTGGAGTTCCCCTATCTATTCGCTCATTATGGTCATATTTTCTTTTTACATATTCATCTTTTAGTTGTAGTTGGACACAATACCTTTATTCTGTATATTTATCTTTATGTGGAGTGGGATGGAACCCAGGGCTCGCACGTGCGAGGCGAGCGCTCTCCGCTGAGCCCCGCCAGCCCCATATGACCATGTTTTCCATTCAGCCTTTGACCACGGTGTTCTTTAAAGTCCTGACTGAGGACTGGTCTGGTCTGCGTCACGTGGAGACGGCTGTCCCAGAGCTGCTTTTCCAGTGCGTGAGGGTGGCGCTTCCTTTTCCTTGCGTAGCTGCAGCTGGTACGTGGAGTGCCAGGCCTTGGGCCTTTCCGTGGCCGCATGTTGGGATGGTGACGGTCACTGCTTGGAGCTGTCCCTGGACTGGCCTGCACTGAGGGAGCTCAGTGTCCTGCACTCAGTGTCCTGAGTGCCCAGGGGCAGCTGGAGGCCTGTGTAAAGCCTGTTGGTTCTCTTGTCCAGTCTCCTGAGCCACTTGGGTTTCTCATTGATCCATAGCGCTCTCCATCCATCCTGGCCCCGCTTCTCCAGCCACGTGCTGCCGGGAACGTGGCGCAGGACAGACACCGACGGGATGGCTGTGCCCCAGTTGGAAGAGGCCATGCCTGGCACAGCCCTGGGCTCTGTGGGGCAGGGTGCCCTTCCTGGTCCTGGAGCTGCTGTCCTTCTCTCTACGTATAGAGATTGACAGCAGTGCCCCTTCTGTCTGGACAGGTGATGACTGATGATGATTGACAGCAGTGCCCCTTCTGTCTGTACAGGTGATGACTGA